TTTTGGGTCTCGCCTCATGTATCATTTTGATTAACCTTCACATGAATCACATTGATCACATGAGGTTCTGCTTGCTGTGGTTATGGCAGTGGTGGTGCCATTGGTGCTGGTGGAAGCCTTGCATGCTCTTCCCTCGTTCTGGCCTCATATACTAGGTCTCTCAAGTGACCTTGTCTGACCAGGTCTTCCACGTGCGTCTTCATGGCTCTGCATCCCTAAGTTAGGTGCCCATCCTCATTATGGTAAGCGCAGTTCTTCCCAAGGCTTATTCCCACGAACTCACCAGGAATCTTCTTAGGCACTCTATAATACGACTGGTTCTTGATCCTTTCTAGAACTTTATAAATCGGGATTCGGAACACAGTGGTGATTGCCTATGCAGCCCTCAGCCTTGTTTCCTGCCTATGAAAACCAGTATTACCTCGGCCTTGCTTCGGCGAACCGTTTCTCTTTTCCTGCTTCGGCGCCTTCATTCCCGACGCATCTTCTTCTACTCTAGCATATTTATCGATCCGTGCCATGAGCTCCTCCATACTCTTTGGTAGAGTTTTTGCTAGTGACTTCCGAAGCGGGCATTCCTCTTCCAGGTCGTTCTTAAAAGACACAACCGCCAACTCTTTGTTGCATCTCGATATTCGTTTGAACACCTCATTATACCTTTTGGCATAAGCCCTAAGGCTTTCACCCTCACTGATTTTCAGAGCCATCAGGGAGTCTACCCTTAGTGGCTACAACTTGTTTGTCGCAAACCTAGCCACAAACATTTCGGCTAGGCCTTCCTAACTCTTCACAGTTCCTTTTGATAACTTGTGAAACCAATTCGATGCGATTTTCGCAAAGGATAAGGGGAACACCTTACACAGCAACTGTTCGTTCCCAGTATACAAAGCCATTGAAGTCAGATATAAGCCGATGTAAAAGTTCAGATCAGACTTACCGTTATAAATCTGGAACCTCGACATATGGAACGTTTTTGGGGCCTCAAACCTATCTAACTCCACTTAGAATGGCATTCTCGACTTGACGGGGGATGTGACCTCGGTATTCTGTCACTTCCTCTGGAGGTAGTCCCTCAAACCCTCTTTAGTCCGACCAGGAGCTCGGCTGTCAACAGATTTCTATCTTTTTGGTGTGCTGCTTCCGGTGTCATTATGTGTCCTCTTGAACTTCTCTTCATTCGCCGTATCAAAACACAGGCCCTTTCCCTGGATATGCCGAGGTTCTTTGACATAAGCTCCCCTAGTACGAGGCATCCTCTGCGAGTCACCTTTGATAGATTCTCCTCGCCCGACATCCCGTGAAGGCCGATGTGAGGGCTCCTTTTCCTTGCCATGCTGTAGGACTGCTAGGACTGTTTTCTGCCCCCCTTTCTGAGCATCAGTCTTGGCCCTTGGCATCGGCGTGTCCTACAATGGAAACAGTGGTTACATGACGTTGTTCTGCATCATGAAGTTGACAACCGATTGTAGATCTGCTAACTTGTTGGCCATTCCCTTCATCTCGTCGTCCCTCCTCAGGCATCTATCCTTCCATACTTGAGGTCGTTTTCATTGTAATACTTATCTCAACCTGATTTCTTTGGGGCGTCTCCCTTTTTGCCGACGCCCTTATCCCTAAGATTTTGATCATGTACTCCTTTATTATGGTTTTCTTCTTCGATGTTAGGATCGACATGTTTATCACTCCCGTCTAGGACATCATCATCGATCTTTTCTCCCTGCCGGTTGTTGGCCATCTATTCTCCCTAAGTTCCCACAGACGACGCCAAATTGTGGGTATTGATTTTTGACCACACACCCAAACGGGGAACTCAGCTGGAGAGTACTGACAGAATAGAAGAAGATGAGAATCTGACGGTGGTTTGTACACCCGGAGACACTTTGACGATCAAGTCAGTAATCAGTATTTCTCAAAGATAGCAAATTATGCTTAAACTCACAAGAAAGAACTTACTGATCACAGTATATCACCCATATCAGAGACTCACGGGGGTGCTCTACTTTTATAGTTAGCACTGACCTGATCTTTGTAGAAGCCACACTTCAGTGGACTCAGCTTCAATGCTCATCTTGGACTCTCAGCTAGATAGGGATAAACTCTTCATGAGCCTTATCCTTATTCTAACTGAGACCCTCCCATGTTCTAGAACTCTTTTCCCTTATTTGCTTGTCTCAGATTCCGGTATCTCCGCAGATAACCTTGGCCTAGCTGAGATCACCTCGGTATCAAGACCAGGCCACATGACACTTCGGCATCACCTTAGCGGCCTGCTGTTATTTGCAAAATATATCCCCACATACATATATATAATACATATTTATTTAGAATAGAACATTTTTTTGCTAATAAAAATTAAATATTAAATATTAAATTATCACCAAAAGAAAGTTGAACCCCAAACTCATATGAATGTAAAAAAGAAATAATTATTGTTTTGATACATGTCTACCATCAAAATACATAATTTAATCATTTTTCATATGATAGTGGCAAATTTGAAATCATGAAACTTCAAGTTCTTTCTTCTTCTTTTTTTGCTCCCAAAAAAAGAATAAAGATAAATGAGCTACAGAAAAATCATAACAAGTAACCCATTATTGTGTAATAATTTTAAATTATAAAAAGAGGATAAGGGTGTAAATCTGGTCCGGCCCACCCAGGCTGGGCCCATGTCGAGCCTTCTAGGCTCTTGCTAAAATTTGACCCTGGCTGGGCCGACCTACGGGCCAAAAAATTAGGCCCAGGCCTAATGGTATTCGGCTTTAAAAGAGACGGCGGGTCGGGGCCTCAGGCTGGCCCAGTGGGCTTGGGCTTGGGCTTGGGCTTGGGCCAAGCCTGACTTTTTTTTCTTTTTTTGTTTTTTTAAATTTTTTTTACCAAAATTTTACAGAAAAATGAATATTACAAATGTAGCATATTTTGAATCAATTATTTTTTGTTTGTTTTTATTAAAAATTTAAAAATAATACACGGGAAAAATTTATAACTAAATTAAGAAAAAAATTATTCCTAGCGATATTTTTTTTTAATACTATATAAACACTTTAAAAATAAACCTAAAAAAGGTAGTCAATATAAATATTATAAATTAAGTAAAAAAATGTGGTTAGCAATTATGCTTACATAAATTTACTATAGTTTTAATTTCAAATTAAAAAAAAAAACTATTTTAAAAGCATTTTATTTATCTAGTACCAAATATAATTTTCTTAACAAAAAAGAAAGTTATAAAATTTTGTTGCAAATTTGTAAATGTCTATTTTAAACATTTTATTTTACTTTGTTTGTTTGCTTGCTTGTTTTTGGAGTTTTGATATTTGATCTTTGCTCGATATTCATCGTATTGTTTTATTTATTTTTCTTCTTCTTACTTGATTTTTGCATGATACTTTTTTCATAATGCAATTAAAAATATCATGTATTTAAAATGCACAAAATTACAATATATAGAAAAAAAAGTGTAAGTAATTGCTCAAAACTAAAATTACTTTAAGAAAAAATAAAAATGAAATTGTTTGAAATAGAAAATGATTTATTTATTAAAATAAACTTTTAAAGAAAACTATATAAAAAAGTACATAAACTAAATATAAAATATAATACAAAAAATAAATGAATTATAGGATTTTCAAGAAGTGAGACTCACAAATAAAATTTGTAAAATTTTGTCTATTTATATACTTTTTGTGTATGTCTTTTTGTACTTCTAATCGTGAGAATGACATTGAAATAATTTACACTTCTTTCATTAGGTCCATCTAATAGTTTTAGCAAGCATAATTATAATAAATTTCATGACACAAAAAACAAACAATTGTGAGCAAAGTATCTGAAAATGAAAGCAACGTTCAATAATGATATAGAAGCACACCTAACGTTTTAATTGGAAGCATAACTAGATAAATCGTCATAAAAGATGAAGATAAACTTTTTTTTTTTCATTACAACAATTACATAACTCAATATATAATTTTAATGCCTTTCACTCTTCCACACGTCAAATTCTCTATCAATATTATAATGAATGCATGAACCAAAAAAAGGGAATATTTGAAAAGACAAAGAGATGTGGTTTGAGACTTTTCAATTGCTGAATTCTATTAATTAATAGTTACTAGGGTTCAATGGTCGTGTTTCTAATATTTGTTATCTATTAAAACTGAGTTATTTGGTTTCATCTATATTCACTTAATAATTTGAGAGTGGACACGTATCAAACCTTTACACAAATACTTGACGCATTGTTTGAACATTATTAATGAAATATACAGTGTAATATATATATATTTCACAATTGCAACCTGTTATTTTTTAATAAGAATTTATTTTAGTTTTAAATATTTTTTTAATATACAAATTATTTTTTACAGTGTAATTTTATTTTATTTTATTTTGTGCGATTGCAACTTGTTATTTTTTTAATAAAAATTTATGTTTGTTTTAGATATTTTTTTTAAAGATTTAAAAAAAAAAAAAAAAAAAAAAAAAAAAATCGCAATTCACATATATACAAATATTTGTAAACACAACCCGTGCATAGAACGGGTGAAATACTAATTTTTTTAATATACAAATTATTTTTTATAGATTTTTTATAAAAATTATTTAACAATCCTATCATTAACCATAGTGTATGAAAGAAGTTGAAAATAGTGCGGTAGTAGGTATGAGAGAAATCAAAAAAACTTATGGGTTGAAAGAAGTCAATAAATTTTTATTATTTATTTTTTTAAAAATCAAAAACTTTAAGAATTAAGATTGACATATTTAAATTCTCACAAAATTTGTGAATTAAAAACTCTATTTTTCTTATATAATATATAGATTATTCGTCATTAACTCATAAATGAGGAATGCATTAATATATTAAAAGGAAAATGATATACGGGAGTATTTGATTCTAAAAAACAATGCAATCAGCAATGTCAAACCTTCTTTATGAAATGGGGTTAGCAGTTGTCATCTACACCTATATAATGCCTCTGCCTCTCTCTCTCTCTCTCTCTCTCTCTCTCTTTCTCTCTACATGAAACAAGACAAATAATAGAGACCTTAGACAAATCTTCCTGTCAAAGCTTAAAACGAAGGGACATTAATCAAAGCCCCCCGTCAAACCCCTCTTCTTCTTCTTCTTCTTCTTCTTTCACATGTCTGATGAACACAGAGACTTTTTCTACCATGACCCATTTCATGATGATAGATATGGAAGCACCAGCACCACCACTGCAACTGCTTTCTCATTCTCTATCAACAACTCTTCTATACCCAATTCATCATCATCATCTCATGACCTGCAAGGCTTTCACAACTCTTCATACTTGAGCTTCACTGAGTGTTTACATGGATCTACAGACTACAACACACTTGCAAGAGCATTTGGCTTGTCACCGCCATCCCCGGAGCAAAAGGTTGAGATGATGGTGGATGCCGGAGGAGGAGGAGGAGGAGGAGGAGACTTAGTGGGCAGTGGCGGCGGTGGAAGTGAAACTCCGGTTACCCCAAACTCTTCGGTCTCTTTCTCGTCCACCGAGGCTGGCGGCGATGAAGACTCAAATAAACATAAGAAAGACCTCCTACAACAGAAGGAGTCAGACGACGACGGAGGAGAAAGCTCTAAGAAAGTGTATGTTGAAATTTGGTTTTTCATTGTTAGAGTTTTTGACTTTGTTTATATAGAAAGTAATGGTTTGTATGAGTATAAATCGACAGGAGCAAATCCAAAAAGAAAGGAGAGAAAAAGGAGAAAGAACCCCGGTTTGCTTTCATGACCAAGAGTGAAGTTGATCATCTGGAAGATGGATATAGATGGAGAAAATATGGACAGAAGGCTGTCAAGAATAGCCCTTTCCCAAGGTTTGTTCCCTCTATTTCCTAAAACAAATCATAAATTTGTTAATTATATGATTGTGTTGTCAAAAAATGATATACAAATAGAGTAGAAAAAACTAGTACTAATTTTTGTTGTGTTCATACAAGTTTCCGTGTTCAAGAAAAACGCGGTGCCTTATATTGCGTTGTTGTACCTTATCTATCCAACACTCTCGCACAGATTTCAGTCACAAAAATGAATCTCCTTAAAAAGAAAAAAAAAGAAAAAAATAGGTAGCTAGAATTTGCACCGAGTACAATCTAATGATTTGTTGTGTTCCTATTGCGTTGTTATACACTTATGTATCCAATACTCTAGCACAGATTTCAGACAGGACCATGAAAATTGGCAAAAAAAAAAAAAAAAAAAAAAAGAAGAAGAAGAAGATCGTTAGATAGATAAAATTTGGGCCGAGTACAATCTAATGATTTGTTGTGTTCCTACTTATTAAAAATTGAATAGAAGTTTATGCAGATATGCTAGTTATCACTGATTTTATTTCACTACGTTGTTTCGAAGACAATTTGCATTTCCATTTGCAGAAGCTACTACCGTTGCACCACACAGAAGTGCACGGTGAAGAAGCGCGTTGAGAGGTCGTTTGAAGATCCATCAGTTGTGATAACAACATACGAAGGCCAACATAACCATCCGATACCGGCAACTCTGAGGGGAAATGTGGGGGGGATGGTGTTGCCACCTTCTGTGATGACAACGCCGATGGCGGGGACAGGGTTTCCTCAAGAATTTATAGTTCAAATGCCTTCAGTGTACAACTATGGTGGTGGCATGAACTCTTTCTACCCACAAACTAGTGCTAGTACTCATCATCATCTAACTCCACCACATTATCATCAACAGCTTCAGTTTCAGCTTCCTGACTATGGCCTTTTACAAGACATGGTTCCCTCCATGTTTCTTAAACAAGAGCCATGACTCTCTTTGTGTGTGTGTGTGTGTGTGGGGTTTAGTACACCTTATTTATTACTTGATATCATGTATGCTACTTCTGCTGTTGTTAAGCTTATATATAGAGCCCCTTTCAATTGCTAATTTTATCATTTGTATGACAAATGCTCTTGAATTGGTGTTTGTAATGGAGTGCAAGAAATATTGTGTCTTTCGAATGTGGATCATATATATATATATATGTAATCAGTTGAGGTACTCTTTGGCTATAATTGCTAAACTAATTTTTACTTTTGAAAGTATGCAAAGTACTTTCAAATTGTTATTGTTGAACATATGGCCTCGTTTGGGAAGTTGACTATTTTAGTAGGTTAAAATTTTTATATTTGGAAATATGATTGGATTATTTTTTGTAGATGGATGTAATGTTTGTGAGACAAAAAGTGAAATAATTATGAATTTAATGTGACATTTTATATTATTTACTATTTTAACTTACTTTGTTTTTCTTCTTTTTTATTTTTATTTTTATTTTTTTGTGAATTTAACCCCCCAAAATAAACCATAAACTCACTTCCTAAACAGGGCATTGAACTGTCTACAAACATAAGCAATTCATATATAAAATGCAGGACTTCAAGCGCATGCCCAAGTATATATGCCTTTGTGTGTATGTGTGTGAGCACGCTCGCGTGATTGATTTCAATTTTAGGACTAAGACATTGTTTGTCATAAGTTAAAAAAATTAAAAACTCACTATCCTATTTAAGTCATATCATCTTATTTAAATCACATCACTTTTCTGTCACGTCACTTTAAACCCAACCCATACTCAACTCATATTTTATAAAAAATTAAAAAATACACTATTTAGATCATTCCAAATTATCCCTAAATTATGAACTCAATGCTGTTCAGGGAAGGTCACTTGGGCTCCCAACCACCTTTTTTTTTTTTTTTTTTGTACATATATAAGCTCATATGTAGATTAGTACTACTGGAACAATATCTCATGGAGTAGATAAAAACTCCCAATTCAGGTTTCTTAGTTTACTTCTGGAGGACACTATAATAGGTCTTGGTTGCCCTAACTATGTAATATATCAAAAAAGGATAAATTATACAAATAGCTCCTATAGTTTACATGATGTGTCAGTTTGATCCATATTGTTTCAATTTGCTTGATTTTGTCCCTTAATTTAATGGATTGTGTCATTTTAGCACAATAAATAACGATTGTTAAGTTTGGTGAACGAAAATTCAAACTATGTGTTAATTTGGTCCCTGTAGTTTATACAATGTGTTAATTTGGTTCTTGTAGTTTACACAATGTGTTAATTTGGTTTCTGTCAAAATCGGACAAATTAAAACAATAGGGACTAAATTGACACATTGTGTAAACTACAAGGACTAAATTGACAAATTATGTAGACTTTCTATCCACCAAACTTTATAACCGTTATTTATTAGACTAAAATGACACATTATATTAAATTAAGGGACAAAATCGAGCAAATTGAAATAATAGGGACCAAATTGACACATCGTGTAAACTGCACGGACTATTTGCATAATTTATCCATCAAAAAATGTGTAGTTAATTAATTTCATTGTGTATTGAACAAATTAGAGACGAAAAATAATACTTGTCATGATTTTTTTTCTTTTTTTGAGAAATGATATTTCTTGTCGGATGAATTTTACTATTTATGTATATTCATATAAATGTTATATATATAGAATTTATAATATTTAAAAATTATGAGAGTTAGATTACAACGCAAGTTAATATCTCTCCATAAACTCGAACCTAAAATCCCACTCACTTTAGCCACCTAAGTGCCTCCATGATCAAAGAAAGGGAAGAGAAGAAAATCTAAAGAAGTTATACCATTGTTGTGTACAACCCGCCCCATCAATGGAGACCCTAAGATCCTGCTAAAACAAAACCCAAATCCTAAGAAAGCAAAGGTGCTACCAGGTAGCAAGAAACTAACTAAATACAACACAAAAAAGGTAAAAAAGTGATGGGTGGAAGAAGAGAGTGCGACGGAGGATGGAGGTTGGTATTGTGTAGGCATGGTGGTCAAGGAAGCAGGAACAAAGGAAGAGTGGACGCTATTCACCCGATATTTGTGGATGATCATCTACGGATCCAAAAGGGATGTATACATTATTCTCTAATTTCGGGGTAGTGAGGGGTGTGTTTATTCCAAACAAGAGAAGGAAGATGACACGATCAAGATTTGAATTTGTATGTTATGATTGTCAGGTAACAGCAAGAATGGCAGTTTAGAAAGTACAGGGACTCTGGTGTGACAACAGAGCATTGAAAGTTAAAGTTGCAGACTACGGTAAAGATAAGGAAGTAAAGCAGAGGCCATCAGCAGTACCAGTTGGAAGGAGGAATATAGGTAGTTGTAACATGTCTGGGGGGTACCCATGCGCTTTAAACTGTTCGGACCCTTGATCTAGCCTCATGAGTGCAATGTAAAACATAGATGAGAGTCCAAACTTGGCAACTTTATAGAAAATCCATTTTAGTGCAAAATCATTGCTAGAAATAGACTGCATAATTAGATCTCAGAGTTGCTATCTAATATTTGAAACAATTAGGAAACCAGTAACTCGTGCCAAGGTCTTGTCGTAACCAAAGATGTTTGGCTCGGAACCTTATGTATAAGGGGGAAAGGTCACTATTGAGCATCCCCACTCATCTGATCAAAGATCGGCCTTTACTAAACCATGTGTAGACACCCCTTTTTTGACCAACCTTAAGACTCAGACGTCATCGATTGAGCGCTCGGTGATTGTGCATGTTGTGCTCGTTTCGAGGTTTCAGAGTTTTCGGCTAAGTGCTTTGCCTCTGGGCCTCTGAACTCTTCATGCTTTGGCTTGGCTTGCGGACCAAGCCTTATTTTCCTTGCCTGAGGGAGGGAGAGGTCTTGTAGACCACCTCTTCGTGGTCGTAGACCACTTTTCTCGTTTGGAGACCAGTTTTCGATTTTTGGAGCCTTTGGTCGCGCGCCTTGACTCGGGACTGCTTAATGTTCTCCGTTTGGCGTGGTTTTTGAACCATACCTTGTTGCCTCTACCTAGAGGGACATTGTAGTCCAGGAGACCACTTTTGTGATCACGCACCGCTTTTGATGCCCGTAGACTAGTTTTCGAGGCTTCTGGCAGCGCGCCTTGCCTCCCGAACTTTCATCTTGCATCCTTTTTGGTTTATTTTTGGTGCAAACCTTGTTTTCCTTGTTTGGAAGGTGTTACAAGGGTGGGAGACTAGTTCTTCCCATTGGAGACCACTTTTCTTCCCGCCAGCCAATTTTCTGGTCGGCCAACTGGTCTCCTTGATCTTTGGGCCATATTTTCTGGTCGGCCACCACGCCACTGCATTGTTTTCATGCTGCTGAATCTCTCCCACCATGGCCGGCCAGTTTTTGTCTTGGGAGACCACTTGTGCTGGTCAAGCGACCACTTCAAGTAACTAGCTGACCACTTCAAGTGGTCGGTTGCTTTTCATCACCTTTTTGGAGATATTTTCATTCAGCTAGCACAGCTGGAAAGCACTAAAGCCATCCTTCATACACGTGTATGGAGGGATGGCCTTGGACCCAAAGCTTGTCCAACAAGCTTGAGTTTGGTTCTCTATAAGAGAGAACCTCCCCCCCTCCTCCTCCAGGTTCAGTTTTTTTTGGATTGGAAGATATAGATACACTTTTGTCTCTATCTTGCTCTTGTTCTTCATTTTGTGCCTTAAAAGTGTAGTTTTAAACACACACTCAAACACCATCCTTTTGTTGCTGGGGCTTCTTGAGGTTGTTTTTTGTGCTTTTGGACTAGTTTTGATCCAAGAAAGCTGCTGGAGTTGCAGCCTTGAAGAGGTTCTACAAGGGTGAGTCAACTAACAATTTAACCCTTTGTTTTGCTTAAGTTTTTAGACCTATTTGCATGGTATTTTAGAATTAACTTCCTACTGCAAAAAGTTTTGTTTTTTCATGTTTAAAATGTTTGTTTAAGGTCACTTTTTTCTTGGGGGTGGTCTACCCCTTCTTAGGCCTTGTTTTGAGCCATCTCTTTAGGCTCTTATTTTAGCCTTTGCATGACCTTTCTACCACTGAAATCTAGAGGATTTTCAATGATGGAAAGGTGATTTTGGGGTCCCAAATAGGAGAAGGTCATCCCCTCTCCTTGTATTTTGAATGCTTGCTTTGAATGCCTCATGTGTGAGCATGTTTGTTAAGCTTATGTTGGCCATATCTTAGCATGTATTTGGGGTTATTTCAGTATGGCATGCCACTGTTTTGACTTGGTTTTGTCATCCCTTGCACGCCTTATACACTTGTAGTGTAAATTTCATAAACTAGTCTTGTATGCTTCATGAAGTAGCATGTCTTTCTAGCTTATGTTGACTCCATTTCAGTAGGTTTTTGGTGTTTTTTTAACATGCCATAACTCTGTTAAGGTTGGGTTTGATAGCCCCATGCATGCTCCATGCACTTGTAGTGCATTTCCATGAACTAGCTTAATGTGTATCATGCTTTAACATGTCATTCTAGCATGCTTTTGGCTTAACTCTAAGAAGCTTTTGTCCATGTTTTAGCATGCTCTAGCTCTGATTTGTGTTGTTTTGGTCATGCATGCCATGCTTTGTATAGCTATAGTGCATTGTAGCTTGTTAGCTTTGTGTATCAAGTCCACTAACATGCATTGCTTGACCTATTTGAATGATTTGGCATCATTTCATATGAGATTTCAGTGCATGTTTCATGGTTATACACTTTCATCTTTCACTCATTCAATGCGTTGGAGGGTTGGTCCTTTATGCCTTAAACATGAGTCGTTGCGTATGCCTTCATACCTAAGCTTGCGAGCTATCATTTCGATGTGTTTTTGGGATTATTTTTCCATAATATAACTCTGATTTTTGTTGGCGAAGCCATCTCATACTTGGTCTTGGTAGGTGTAGTGTAATCCACCTTATTTGCCTTGCATATTTCATGCCTTATGCCCTTCATGCTAGCTTATTTTGGTTTCCTTCCATGCATGTTTTAGACTCATTTTGACATGTTCTAGGACTATTTTGGGTTGGCTTTGCCATATGCTTCATGTTTTGCATAGTTGTAGTGCAATTGGCCTTGCTAGCCTTGTGTTTTGATGCCTCATGCATGTTATCTTTGAGCTATTTGGATGATTTGGCATCATTTAATACTT